CAGCTCCCATAATTCCGGTGCATTGCCGTTGAGTGGATTCCGATTTTTGCTTTCTAGCAACTGTAATTTTCTGCAGAGCTCATAGCCGGGTTTCCCATTGTCAGCATATCTGACGTAACCTCTCTGGCTGCTACATGAGCGTATTTCACGTCCTCTTCCCACTCGCCGACATCCTGCCCTGCTCTCAGCACCAGAGGCTCCGTAGCAGTATTCCACACAGGTACCTCCGCAACTCCTTTCTCATCTGTTATGTACAAACAGGACTGAAGCCCCTTCACTTGCGAATGTAACGGACTTTTGGTGTCATCTGTATCTCCTTTGACAGTGATCCATCTCGTCTCTCCTGGTGCTATGTAGATCCGTCTGCACACCAACACTCTGTTGGGCGGATTCGCTACCTTTGCCGCTTCTGGATTCGAGACCTCGGATTCCCCCATACTAGGACTCATTCTGAATAAATTAGCTCGGTGGACGAGCACGTACCCTGGGCATCCCTTAGGCTTTGCTGCCACTAGCGTACTATTGAAGGTCCCTACATGCATCTCTATGGTAATCGCGCCTTCACCTAGTCCGGATAACGGTACCTCTACCAAGCTCGTGGACTTCATGCGATTTCCTGAAGCGTCGGATGCGTATGCTTCCGTCCACCTCATGCTCCCGTAGCCTGTGACCTTCTCTTTTGAGCTCACGAAATACGTTCATGGGCAAAATTGATACTCGGAACCAGTGTCCAGTAATGCTACCAAAGCCTTAGCACATACGTCTACTTTGGTTATGCACTTCTCTCCATACGGCTTTGCGGCTGTGCCTTCACTTTCCCGTGCTCTGAGCGACTCATCGTTCACGTGGCCCCCGTGCTAGTTGCGCGGCTCTGTTGCCCCTACTGACAGGACCCCACGACCACATTCCGCACCTTTTCCTTTTTAGAGTCTTTGGACTTGTGCCTCTGCCCTTGCAGTTATCTGAGTTCCACCTGACACGCTATGTTGTTGCACATTCTCTAGTTTTCTTCATTCCTTGCTGCGTTTCTACCTTCCTAGCTTCATTACATGCGTTCCAAGCCGTTTCCGCTTTACTGCAGGCTTTCTAACAACTGCAGGCCTTCTAACATGTTGCTCCTTCACATTTTCCTAGCGTCAGCCTTCTTCTTTCTACGCGCATTGCCGCTTGCTTCAAGCTTGCATACGCAGTACCCCCGTCCTTCTCCATGGCTTCCATGAAGTAGTAGGACTCCGGCCAATGAACTACCTGTTCATACAACTGGTGCGCTCTAACCGTGGACAAGGTTACCTCATCCAGTTCAGGGTATGCTTTGGCCGACAATCTCTCCAGCTCTACGCAGTACTCCGCTATTGTTTGAGTTTCTAATTTCTTAAGGACGCCTCAGTTTACCGAGCGCCAATACCTTCTTCGTTTGATCGTCTTCTTTATTGGCCCTAGACAAGGCTGCCATAATCCCTTCAAATGAACCATGTCTTATCTCACGGGGCAATGCTTCATATTGAGCTTTAGCTTTACCACTTAATTTGGACTTGAGTAACATCTTAAGTTCCTTACATGACCAGCTATGTCTGGGATACTTCAACAAAAACGCCTCCATGAAGCTATCCCAGCTATAGTCCTCTATCAGTACCCGAATATACCCGCACATCCGGTAATGCTATGTATTTCAGATACCGATCCATATGACCATGCCCAAAATGATGCACTTCCTCTATTGTTACATAAGCTTGAGGAACTACAGGAACTTTCGCATTCACTATCTTCGTATGTACTTGACGTAACACTGGACTCACCGGCCCTTATCTGCTTCTTCCTTGAGGATGGATCCATTCCTGCAATATCCAGCGATTCGAGCTGTGCCACTGTTTTCGCCCATTCTGCGACGCATTCACATCAGGATTCAAGTCCAACTTCAGCCTACGCAAAGACTCCAATTTATGCTTAACTTTAGTGTCAGGTTCTCTACCTGGCAAAGCTTCACGCCTCATTTCCTTTTCACGCCCTCTGAGCTCATCCAGCTCCTCCTCCTTGGCCTTCAGCTGAGCCTGTAATGCGACTACTTCATCTTCTTTTTGTATTAATCGCGCCATTTTCTTTTTCAATTGGGCGCAATTACTCACCACTTCCTCTTGAGCCCATTTAGTTATGCTCAAAATTTTGTCGACTACCGCCGCCTTTTCCACCAGGCTTTCTATCGCCTCTACGAATTCTAATTGTGTGTTGCACTCCAGCGATGCCCTCAGCTGCCTACAACTCAGCTGTTCCTTCGCCCACTTTTCACAAGCCCCTTTGAGCTCAGCCACCCCTTCCTCAACAGTTCCTACTGCTGCTCTGGTAACCTGCTCCAGCCTCTCTCTCCTGGGATCGTTAGTACGCCAGTGCTTGCTGGCCTCCGCCACTACCAATACTTCTAACTCTTTAATTTTTTTCTGTAGCTGCTCACATACCTTAAGCTGTTCCAGCTCGTCATGAAGCTGGCGCTCTTCGCGCCATTTCTATATCCTGGCTCTCCATCATTCTATCCGCTTGTACAACTTCACCTGCAATGGGCGTGTTGTTACTCGCTCTGTCAGCGTCCTTCAACGCCTCTGATTCTTCCATTCGTGGCGATCAGCAATTGCGGGTGCCAAATCTCTTCTTTCCGAAGAAATCGCCAGCCCCGACGCACACAGCGTTGCCGGCGATTCCTTACCAAAGAAGGGATCTGACACCACACTGGTCTCAGCGAGTTGGGCTCTCTTCCTGGGAGCCACTTACTCACTAGCAGTGCGTAACGTTAGTGGCCACTCGAGGACTAGCCAAGTAGCCGTAACGATAATAGCAAAAGTAAGTTGTTCCACTTGACTGTGGGCTTGGCCCCAAGTTGGATAGGATAGGAAACTGTACCGGTTCAACCGCCTCAGTATACAGTCAAGTGAAGAATAACTTTCACCCGCACCCTCAGTATACAGTCAAGTGAAGAAAAACTTCTTTATTATTACGCACAACAAAAAAAAACGAAAACGACAACCAGGTGAATGTGAGGTTAGAATACTACTACACGCGAGACACAAAAAAAAGACTAGGGACAGATGATCTCCTGAGGAGGAGGTGTGTGTAGGCAACGGCGGGGGGAAGGTCCCAAAAAGTAGACTAAATCAGAGAGTTACTCTTCTTGTGAAGTTGCCCCCTTTTATATCGTGCGCATTCGCGCCCAAAACCATTTCCGACCACCCACTCGATCGTCTGATCACTTTGTGATCTCCTGACATCCAATCGACTGCTCAATCTGAATCAAAATTAGGTTTATTATTATTTTCCTTATGCTACACACCCACTCATCCAGAGTGAAATGATATGGTACGCCGTATTCTCGCTAGGCGTACCATATCACTTTACTTGGCCCACCATCGCATGCGCTTTCTAGGTCTTGGAAGGCTACTTGCAGGGGCTGTGCTAGTTACGACCTTGTTCCAGCAAAAGGCGATCGGCATGTATGGCGTCGATGGTGCTAAAGATCACCACGAAGCCACACAGATTGGTAGAAAGGTAGACGATACGCCGAACAAGTGCATCAACAATCCGTATAAAGATTTTCATGGTGTGCGAGAGAAGACGAAAACGAACTGAACGGTAGTTCGAGCAATCTGCCGGGCTGCCTTTCTTCTTCCAACTCGGGATTGTCGTGCTCTGCTGCCAACCCTTGGGTACCTTCTTCTTTTCGACGATCTGGTTCGAGTGCTTCGCCAGCCACTCTGCAAGAAACAACTGTGACTTCCAAAGATCAGTTGGCAAGGGCCTAATGCATAATGAAGTCCTTTTCGCGTCACGTGGAGGAAGCACAGATAAGAAAATTTTTACGATCAGCGTAAGCACTAAGGTGAAATGATCGTCCTTCTTAAGAAACATTTCAAGGGATTGAGTTCGTTATAAAGGCACTGTTTGCAAAAGACCGTGTTGTATCGAATGCAATGTCTGTAGCAGCTATGTAGTCCTCCTCAGATAATCGTTGAAGACGGAGTGGAAAGTAGTCTCCCTGAGGGATTGAGAGATATCGATGATGGTGTATTCGCGAAATCGCAGAGATGTGGTAGGCGTGGTACGAACTTCAGCTGCTGCGCTTCTGGAGAGATATTTTTATTTTGACACAATTGGTCGTGTCACTGTCCAACACTGATCAAGATGACAGTTGTCTCAAACTGGAATATCCCACGAGTGAACCATTCTGTGCCATTGTTCAAATGCCTCGCCTATTCGTCTCGGGGATAAGTAGCGTACCTCTAATAGAAACCTCGCGATGAGCTGCTCTTCGTAGTGGAGTTCTGGAATGAATTTGTGGTGAGCAGCAACTTATGAGTGAAAAGAAAGCAATAAACGGTCGAAAAGTCAAAGCAATTGCGCTCTCCTTCCGCAATAGACGATTTCGTACCAAAGAATCGACAGCGTGACCGACTGCGTACATACCTCTACTCGCAATTATTTCTTGCAATTCTCCATGCCTATATTGTACAGGCCTTGAAAAAAGAAAGGAGCAGTACAATAGAAATAATGTATTATCATAGGTGGTTTTAAAGGCACATTCCGCGATAAAATAAGGCTATGACCTCTCAAATGTGTCGGACGATCCGGAAGGCGATTTTTGAGGCTGCGCTACTTTCAAAATGTGAAAAACGGCAAGAACTCCGCTAGAAGCTGACTAATTAGGCCCATGGACACCCCTTAGGCCCATGCCGACCCTCACCGGCTGCTAGCTACTAGCTAGTAGCCACTATGTTATCTTTCTCTATAACATTTCGGACTGCTTTTTCTGCTGCTTTTCTCCGCTAATCAGATACTTAGCACTTTTTTGTGCCTATTTGAGTTCCGTTTCCCGCAATTTGCGGTCGCGAACTGTGCCTTTAAGAGATGAATTACCGTGCTATACTGAGCAGGAGCGGGACAAGACTGGAAATGGAATTCCAAGAGAATCAATAAAGCTGCATTATTATTAGAACAAAGCAACGCGAAGACGACTCCTGCCCCGTAAAATGGATTGCTTTTCACAGCCTGTGTCTTTTTGAGAAAAACTTCATAGCAGAATGTATTTTGCATAGGAAGTGCCCTTCGAAGACTACGGATTAAGGGCAATGTCCTCGAACCCCCCGACAAACAACATTTCTCTCAATAACCCGGTCCTTTATGCACTTCTGAGGCGTGTGCAGCTTTATAGAAGAAAGGCGAGTAGTGAATAATCACCACTTTGAACACCCTGGGAAGAAATTGTCGATACCCAGGCCTGAGTGGGCTGTCTACAGGGCGTTGTCGAGTCATTCCGCGTCTAAAGTCGTGCTTCATAATTAAGGATGAATGATCCAAGGTTTCTAACAAACATTATTACTTGGGTCCTATTTTGGCAGTTGTAATAAATTTAGATGCAATGGAAAAATCGTTAAAAAAGTGCGCCTTTACAAAATAGAAGTATTTTGTGCGCGCCCATACTTTTAGTCACCCTCTACATAAGTATACAAAAGTAAGTATGGGGAATTAGAAGCAACAAGTAGCGCCCGATTACAATATCGATGGTTCAGGGGCAAAATCTCGGATCAATTCTCGCCCGGATCACAGGGCACACCATCGCATTGTGATGAATTCCTGCAGAATATGGATCCCCTTCCCTT